ACCGGACCTGTGCAGAGAAACACACGGAGTAGAGGTGGTGGGAGAGTTAGCAGCGGGCTGTATACTTACCTCGGACTTGTGAGCGTCAGCCCGGGATGTTTCCAGCGCGGCTCTCCGCTCTCTCAGTTGGGTCTGCCTCTCCATCAGGTCGCGGATCTGCTTCTCCAGTGGCTCCTGCGCCGAATGCAGCTTGAACATGTCCTCACCTGCACTCAAAGGTAGACACACATCTGCCATTAAAGCAAGTAACAGTGAGTAGAACAATGGTAATCCTTCAAAGAACACACTTCAAGGACTCGGCCCTTTGAAGGGAGTATGACATAGGGATGCTCACTTCCTTTTGGAATTCGCCCTTTAAGTGTTGCATTTTTCCCTGTTCAAAACTATACGAGTGACACGTCTTGGGTATTCTATAGTCTTTGATGTAACATAAAAACAAAATAATCTCCGGTTGGTCATTTTCCAGTCATGACCAGACTTTGGCTGATGACACACAGGGCAACCTTTTGAGATATGTTGCCGGGCAACTAGTCTGACTCTGTGAGACTAGAGCAGGGTTGGGCAAACTTGGCCCTTCCAGGCCACTTTCCTTCAGAGGTTAGCTCCAACCCTAATCAAACACACCTGAACCAGCTAATCATGGTCTTCAAGACTACTAGAAGGCTACAGGCAGGTGAGTCATATCAGGGTTGGATCAAATCTCTGCAGAAAAGTGGCCTGGAAGGGCCAAGTTTGCCCATCACTGGATTAAAGGATATACTGTGCTGCAGAGAAACAACCTTTGACCTTTTTGTACAGTTTAGTTATTTTTTCAGCCTTTAATTTAATCACCCTGAAAACGGCTGTTGGATACACACTTTTATATATGCACATCCCTATAAACAGTCAGACATAACCTCTGTGACCTCTATAAACCATAGACCACCAGACAAGTGCTCTCTCAATCATAATTCATGTTTCACACTCAAATACACATTTAAGCAAACTAATTTTCAGCAAATTGATCAACTATAAAACAAATCTTACATTTTAAATGATACATAGTGGACACATTGTGGTTGACAAACAAGAGTGAAAAATCAAGTTCTGAGAAAATGTGTTTGCAGACACCCCTTGGTTTGATATTTTGTTCATACATAATATAATATAATATAATATAATATAAAGTTTCTCTCTGTGGTCTGCTTAGACTTCAGCTGTGAAGGAAATGTTACAGCATGGTGGTCAAACTCTTCTCTTCTGCAACCCACCAAGTCTGAATCCAAACAAATCTCCCCACAAATGAAACAAATGCTTCCACAGTAAAAGTGACTGACAGGTGGAGACTTTCTGACCTTAAGGTTAAACAGACATACTGTTTATTGGAAATAAAGGGACGTGTGTGTATAGATGTGTATATGTGAGTTGGGGTTGAGGGAATCAAGGAAGACATGTGTCTTCAGAGGGCTGCGTTTACAGTGGGAATCCATGCTTGCTGGAAAGGAAAATACACATGAAGTAGGAATGAGAGAGTACTGATGGACATCACACAGAGAAAGAAACCAGATGGACCAAGGAACTTCAACGTGATTTACTAGTCTATCTCCTTCATCCAAGTCTATACAGAATTCTTATTAGGAATTTCAGCATAGATGTTCAAGCAGGACAGGCATTCAGAGTAAATGTGACCCTGTACCACAAAACCAGTCATAAGTAGCATGGGTGTATTTGTAGCAATAACCAATAATACATTGCATGGGTCAAAATGATTGATTTTGTTTTATGCCAAACATCATTGGGATGAGAGAGTACTGATGGACATCACACAGAGAAAGAGAGAAGGAGAGAAACCAGATGGACCAAGGGGACTTCAGCAAGTCTATCTCCTTCATCCAAGTCTATACAGAATTCTTATTAGGAATTTCAGCATAGATGTTCAAGCAGGACAGGCATTCAGAGTAAATGTGACCCTGTACCACAAAACCAGTCATAAGTAGCATGGGTGTATTTGTAGCAATAACCAATAATACATTGCATGGGTCAAAATGATTGATTTTGTTTTATGCCAAACATCATTGGGAAATTAAGATTATGTTCCATGAGTATATTTTGTACATTTCCCACCTTGAATTTATCAATAATTAATTTTTGATTAGTAATATGCATTGCTAAGGACTTAATTTGGACAACTTTAAAGGTGATTTTCTCAATATTGTGATTTTTTTGCACCCTCAGATTCCAGATTTTCAAATAGTTGTATCTCAGCCATACAGCAATGGAAAGCTTTCAGATGATGTATAAATCTCAATTTCACAAAATTGACCCTAATGACTGGTTTTGTGGTCCAGTGTCACATATTTCCATTCACATACTTCTATACACATACTATTTTGAGGTTTTACAGCTACTTCCTTTACTATATTTTCACTTCTGTGAACTTTCCTTTTAAAAGTCTTTGATAACATGTTGTATTGTCCATTTTTGTCCTGTGCATGTTTGCAAAATAAGATGATAGTAGGAATCCTCTCCATACATCAATGGAAAGCTTATTTATTCAGATGCTGTATAAATCTGACCGGTTTTGTGGTCCAGGGTCACAAATGGTCTATATCTCAACTCAACATGTAAATCCACAGATACATGTACAGTACTTGGAGTATGTTTCCAGATTATTCTACAATGTTTTAATACTTAAAAATGGTTTTCCCATCAGCCCATAAGCAAAACTAAATAAATTACCACTTTTTCTCTTTTTTTTCTGAGGGTGTATTCACACCTGTCTTGTTTGGTTCGATTGAATAGAACTCAAGTTCGTTTCACCTAT